CCCCCCCCCAACATCTCACAGCCTCGAGAACGCAGCCCAGCAACGGCAGCCCCGACCCCCTTCTGCAGTCCCCAGTGTGCTTGCTGATGGCGTCCGAGTTGCTCAGGAAGAGCAATTTGAGGAAAACCAACCACGGTGCTTCAGACGAGGGCCTCCACGGCCAGAGGCTGGTGGGAAGTCACTTCCTCTGTCATCATCACCCCCATGGGTCAGTCTTGGGGACCCCTTTCCACCTTTTGCCAGGGGAGGGGGCAAGGGGTGGCAAGCTCAGGCAAGAGCACAGGCAAAGCCACCCGCTGCAACACGCCCTCCCCGCAGGCACAGCAACGGTGAGAACGAAAGGCAGGCTTTAGGAAAAAGCTAAGTCATTTCGGGTGACTTGGGCACGGTCAGGTTTGAGCACGGCAGAGTGAACCTGCAGGCCGCAGGCCCCACCTTGCTTAGGGCGGGTAGCTTCGAATCTCTTGGGTGGTCACTCCCTCCCACCACCAGGGCCTGTGGGGCTGGAGCAAAGGCCAGGTCCAGCCCATCCAGTGACCAGCCAGGGGAAGGAAGCCCCGGCGAGTGGGCCAGGATGGCGGGGCTGGTGTCAGCAGATGTAAAGATGAGGAAACGGAGTGAACGGGACTCCTGAAGCCACCCTGATCCCCACACAGGAGCCGGAGGCCCCAGGGGGCGGCTCGACGCCCGGCCTGTGTCTATGGGCGCAGGAGCACTGGGTGGGCTTCCGGGCTGCCAATGCAAAAATCGATTCTAGAGGCCAGGTGTTCAGATTTGAGTCTCACCTGAGGTAAATCCGAGTATAAAGTTTGCTCAGTGGACAAATGGGGGCCAGCGTGAAAGCCACGTGGGCACCTCTCCCTGCCAAGCATAGCGACTCTGGTCCACCAACTCTGAGGAATGGAGGGGGCATCACAAGTCTTCCTTCATAGTGACCCACAACAGTGGGAGGGGCGTGTGAAAGGCCGCGTCCCCGACGACCAAATTGGAAGACGGCTTGATTTTCCTCAAATCCTCGGGCCTCGAGTTCAGGCAAAGCATACAAACACCATATGAAATCAACAGCATGAAGTCTGTCACCTGGGAAAATAAATGTCACCCAGAGGTGACGGTTCTTTATACAAATATGTCCCCTCAGCCCCACTACCAAAGGGCAGGGCGGGGAGGGGAAATTCAAAAATAGAAAACAACATCTTAAGTGTAAACGTACCCTCTGGAATCTGTGTCTGCCTGATGCCACAGATAGGCATTTCCGTCAGCTCAGGTGTTAAGAAAATAGGCCCACGGCATTAGACAACAGACTCACTGTTGGAACACGACTTTAAATGGTAATAAATTACATTTTTAGCAAAATTTACACATTCTAGCCACCAGCCAGAAGGGTTTATGTCAAACCCCTGGAGAACTACCTCTGCATCTGAACCCACTGCTTGCCTGACAGCACCCTACGCTGTGGTAGATGTGGTAGACAAGAGTACTGTGTCCGAAGAACCAGTACATCCAGAACTCTGCAGACTGACAAGACAGAGAAAGTTGAGGGGTCGGCGGTGTGACCATTCCACTCAGACAGGACGATGGAAGAGATGGCCAAAGGCCTCCCCCAGGGATCAAGGCACAGAGGGAGAGGGGCCGAGCCCACACAAGAGCCTGGTGTTGGCAGGGAGTGGGTGGAGTGGCTCTCGGCCCTTCCAAGGGCTCCTGGGGTGGGCCACTGCCGCGGGGTCTGTCCTCAGCATGGCTCAGCTTGGCTGCGGGCCACGGGGGTGGGGGGTGGGGGTGGCGCGGAGTCTCTGGGTGGTCATTGGTGGAGGCCTTGACCACAGGCAGTCACAGAAGCCCTTGGATGAGCCTATGTCCGTACGGCCTGCTGGGTGCAGTAAAGCTTGGCCTGTCTGGACAGCAGGGGGAGGTGCGGTGTGCGGGGGGGATTCCAGTTAACTCAGGTCCACCCACCTCCTCGATGGATGACAGATTCTGAATGGATACAAAAAGCGGTCTCAAATGACATTTTTCATGTGTGATTCAGAAGGCACTTCAAAACTCCGCAGAGCCACAGGGCCACCAACCCTCCCGGCAGGCAGAAGTGATGCAGAGACGCTGACCTGATGGTGGGTGGGACACTGCATTATCGGCCCAGGCTCTGGCACATGGCGGGTTGGCATGGGATCAGATGGATTCTGCTGTGTGGGGGGCAGTTTGTTTCCAAGCAATTGTCTCAACCAGTGATATCGGAAAACTTATCATCTCAGGTAGAGAGGCCAATAGGTCAGGACAGATAACAAATTCACCTTGCCAACCTGTAGCAATGAACGTCCCAGCACCCAACTGCCTCACCTGAGAGCCTCCCGGCATCCTGCTTGGCAGAGGGGACAGAGGTCCTGCAGCCAACAAGCCCCCCAGGACAGCCTGATTGCAGAGAAGGCCCCATTGCTCCCCCTGCTGGCGCCCAATGTGGGTCAGCACCTTACCTGAAGACCGTGCTTGGGTCCCACGGGCTGGGGGGCTAAAGTATAAGTCCCCAGCAGGCCTGGTGGGGGTTGGGGGCTCTGAGGTAGCTCCTACCTACTCTCTTCCCGTCTTTCGGGACACGTGGGAAGTAGGCAAAGACCCGAGCATCGCTTTAGCCACAAATCACCCTAACTGAGAGCGAAGGAAAGGAAACTTGAGTTGCTTTATTTAGCTTCCAATTTCTGGGAGGCTCAAGAAGGAGGATTATTCTGGACAACAGAAGACAACAAGACTGTGCTTACAGAGCTCGTTCTGCCATTCCCGTCTGCAGGACCGCCGTTTCATTGTCGCCCTCCCCGTGACGCGGGTGCACACACCCGGAGGTCATGGTACAGTACACTCTACAACCGAGCACCACGTTCTGTAACTCAACAGGCAAAGGGGGCACACGCAACATCAGCATCTGGCAGTATTTTTTGGAGAGGAAAAAAAAGGTGACTAAAATGGGTTTAAATTGATTAACACTATTAAATCACATCTAATATTGGATACTACATGATTCAATACAGCTATACGATACAATTATACAAAATGTGTTAACATCAAAGAATACAACCAAAATTAAGATAGCAAACAAAACCTATATAACTTTTTTTTGTACAGGAAAATACTTTTGAAGTATGCATGTAACTGCCCATTCTTTTAAAGAAAATCTACTGCAAGCAAAGTTATCAACCTCCAGAAAAATCACACATAGCATTACTAAGCATATCCCCAAAAAGTGTACAATATGCACACTTGGAAAATACAAAATTAAAAAAATTGTAAGCAACAGGTGAGCTCCATATTTATAAGAATGTGAAAAGAAGTCCCGTTTTTAGCACTGTCGTATAAAGAATTGTCTTTTGATGCGAAGTTCATGAATTGTCCTCCTGCTGGGACCACACTTTACAAAAACACCGTGTTTTTGAAACGAGATTACAGAGCAAGATAGAGTATCTTAGCAATGTCATCTTAATAAAGTTTGTGTTTTTAAATTTTTACTACTTTATCAAAACATGTCCCTTAGGTGTGTAGGGTTCGTTTTTAAAATTCTTCCCTAGAAACAACACACAAAGGAGAGGTGCGTGTCTTCCAGTCACTTCTGGAAGAGGCTTCCGGGGCTGAGAAGAAGCTTCCTTCTCACGGTGTCTCACTGGTTGTTTTTGGCCTTAGCGTGTGTTAAGATGTGAGATTTCAGGTTAGTCGACTGAGCAAACTTCTTGTTACAACCATCGAAGGGGCACACATAGGGCCTGTCTCCCGTGTGGATCCGCACATGTGTGCGCAAATTGAAGTCCAGTGAAAAACGCTTCCCACAGCCTTCGAACGTGCACTGTCGAGAGAGACCAGAGATCAACCTGTGCAGCTGGGGGAGAGAGCGCCAAGAGACACGGCACAGCCTCTCCCCAAACCCAGAGTCCACCCGCAACCAAGGGCTTGGATACAGCTGAGGAGGGCCGTGGGACAGGTGACAGCAATCTTCCCAAATGAATGTGTGTGTGTGTGTGTGTGTGTGTGTGTGTGTGTGTGTGGGTTCCTAGCACTTTTTCACTGAGGGTGTTTTGGGCGTGGACCACCCGGAAAGAGCAACCTCAGATTTAATTACTAGGGCATCATGAGCTTGGTCAGTTGTTTCTGGGCTTCTAATAAGGCAAAATACCCCCTTCTCTCTCCCTACACTCAGAGGATACAATTGCAGAAGACCCGGATCCGTGCAATACACCACCCATCATTAAAAGGAAGCTGAGTGAAGGAGCAATGGTCTGCAAGTACTGGGCTGCAAATTCAACAGATGCTCCACGGGAGAAAGAGGGGGCTGTCGGCTTCTGCAGAGACTTATAGCCCAGAAACCCTCCGGAGCAGCTCTACTCTGCCCAACACCAAAGGGCCCTTCCTTCCTGTGAGCTGGAAGGGACCCGAGTGCAGTGGGCATTTTTGGGCACTTTATCAACTACGAACTACAGACAGACAGACATGCCCCGGGCCTCAGTGACAGCACTAGAGCTGCCAAGACTGGGCAGCTGCTGCTCCGGGTACATCCCACTGTGATCTCCCAGCCCCACACAGACCGCACGAGACCCCCTGGGGCCCCGGAGAAGGCGCCAACTCTACCTGAAAGGGCTTCTCTCCAGTATGAACCAGTTGGTGTCGTTTGAGCTTTGAGCTCTCGACAAAAGCCTTGCCGCACTCGGCACAGACGTGGACACGGGGGCCGTGAGTGTGCAGGTGCTTCCTCATGGCTGAGTTGTCCCTGAACATCTTCGTGCAGCCCTGGAAACACAGAGAGGCTCAGTGGCTCCCCCAGCAGGCCGCCCTCACAGGCTCAGCCACAAGACAACCTCACTGATCCAGGCGGACCACCCCCAAGGCCCAGTCCAGTCGGTCTGCTCAATGCCCGTTGTCTTCCCGTCCCACAGCGCTGCAGTAGAGAAGCGGCCACGGATTGAAAGGCCACCTCAATGAATGCACATTCTGAGTTGACTGGTAGGAAATGAGGCTCTGGGTGTCCTTCAGCAGAATGGCCCAAGGTCACACTAGTACCAGGAGTGGCCCAAGTCAGGAGGAGAACCGGCCCCGACCCCTGCTGGCTCCTGGCAGCTGCCTCACTCAAGCAGGTCCCCCAAACCAAGTCACAGAAGCACCAAGAGAAAACGGAGGGAAAATGTTGGCCACCACTATGTTTGGTGGGCCCACACTCTATGCTCCATGAAGAGGCTGTCCCTCTCCATCCCCTAGCGCTCCCCTCGTCTCCCTCTGCCTCCCCCCACTTCACGACAGAGAAAGAAGAGGGTTTCCAGGGTATTCAGAGAGCCCAGGAGAGGGAAGCAGCAGGCCAAGTGTCTCCGAGGCAGGCAGATGTGCTGCTCAAGAGAAGCCTGGCCTCCGCCTGGTCTGCAGTTGTTGCCCAGTGACGGAGGGGCGACAGGACAACATGACAGAGGCGTGCAGAGGCAACCACCAATGGTGCATGGGCAGCCAGGCAACAAGTGGCTTTTCACCTGGACCATGAGGTGGTCTTTCCACTTGGAAAATGGAACCCAAACAAGCCAGCTGGAAGGAGACAAGCCAGCTGGAAGGAGACATACCAGCTAGATGGCAACTGTGGCAGCCGCCCAACTGTTTTCAAACGCTCAGGCCCAGGTGCCCCGCAGAACACTAAGCAGCACCAAGGACCAGGAGACCACGAAGGGTCTCAGGTGACAGCATGGAGCGTCACTCCCTCCCAAGCTGAGAAGCCGCCATTCTTGTCACACAGCTCCCGCCCCCTTCCTCTGCACCCGTGTGAGCTTTACTCTCCCAGCAAAGCTGCAGGCGGACCCTATCCCATCACGACCTCAGAGTCTCTTGGAGGCTTAGCCTTCTCATTCAGAGACGAAAGCCACATTCGAAAACAGTTAGATACCCAGATAGTAACATCCAATTACCAGGGCAAATTATGAAACTCATGAAGTAAATCATTGTTAGCGGGCAAGACTGACTGGCACAGCGGTGGGAGAAACCCAGGTGGTCTGCAGGGATTGCATCAAATAGCGCTGATGTTTAAGTGGCCTTTGCAGAACCACATACACATTACATGGCACAAGGTCGTCTCTGGACTTGAGAAACTGAAGACTGTACAGCCCCCGACTTCACCTTCATTATGAAGATGGAAATAAAAATGGCAAATCCCTCAGTCTCCTGAAGCTGATTCATTCACAGTTGACCCAGCATTTTTACCCGGCGTACTTACTTTGTGAGGGCAAGCTATTGTTCTTGGAGCATCATCTTCTTTAATTTTTCTTGGCTTCATTCTTATTGAGAAAAGAAAAGAGAAAGATTTGTAGGAGTGGGTAGACACAACTGGCATAAATCAAATTGCTCCTCACGGTTTCCCTGATCAGGACCAAGATGAAGAACCTACATGAAGGGGTAGGGGCTGGCCGAGACAACTAATGCACAGAACCTAGGGATTGTTCCCCACTTTCCCGATAGGGCTGGGGGTGCTCCAAAGGTTGTCTGAGGTCTGAGAGTCAATATGCCAGTGCAACTGTACATACACTACAACCAGTGAGATTCAGACACACTCCCCTTCCTCCAAAGCCTTTTAAAACACACAGGGGAGCAAAGCCCCGACAAGCACCAACCAATCCCCCAGGTAGAGTGAGGCAACTGTTCAAACTGACAGGAACCATTCTGAAGAGATACCAGTAGAAAACAGGGTTCAGGACAGCTTGCCGTAAAACTAAGCATGGTTCCCAATGATCAACATACAACACCCCCACCCCACCCATCCAAGGGGGATGAACAACAGAAACTGTGGGGGAAGGGAGACAGTATAAGATATGAAAATAATAATTTATAATTTATCAAGGGGTCACGAGGGTGGGAGGGAAAAAAAGAGCTGATACCAAGGGCTCAAACAGGAAGTAATTATTTAGAAAATAATGATGGCAACATATGTACAAATATGCTTGATACAACTGTTAGAAGAACTTTAAGAGCCCCCAGTAAAATGTTCTTTAAAAAAAACCAACAAAAACAGATCTATGTGCATATATTTATAGATTTAGTATTAAGGGAACAGATGGACATTGGGTCTCTACTTAAGTAGCCCCTCAACGTAAGAACACTTTGTATTAAACTGGCATTCCATGATGCTCACCTTCCCAACACGGCACAATCGCTGAAATGTGGTGAAGAAACCTGATGGTGCCCGGCTATCAAAAGATAAAGCATCTGGGATCTTAAAAGCTTGAAGATAAACAAGCGGTCATCTAGCTCAGAAGCAACAAAGCCCGCATAAAAGAAGCACACCAGCCTGTGTGATCATGAGGTGTCAATGGGATCAGGTATCAGGCATCAAAGACCCAGAACAAAGAATCTTATTGTAAATGAGGGGGAGTCTGGAGTGGAGACCCAAAGCCCATCTGTAGACAACTGGACATCTCCTTAGAGAAGGGTGGTGGGAAGGAGACAAGCCAGTCAGGGTACAGCATAGCACCAATGAAGCATACAACTTTCCTCTAGTTCTTTAATGCTTCCTCCCTCCCACTATCATGATCCCATTTCTACCTTACAAATCCAGCTAGACCAGAGGATGTACATTGGTACAGATAAGAGCTGGAAACACTGAGAATCCAGGACAGATACACCCCTCAGGACCAATAATGAGAGTAGCGATACCAGGAGGGGAAGGGGAAGTGGGTTAGAAAGGGGGAACCGGTTACAGTGATCTACATGTAACCCTCTTCCTGGGGAATGGATAACAGAAAGGTGGGCAGGGGGTTAGGGAGTGAGGGAGGGAAATTAGTTCTTAAAAAAAAAATAAAGAGCATTCATTTTTAAAGGGCAGATTTCTGGTTCGGAGTTTGGACCTTCCAAGTATAACCCCAAGTCCTGGTGCCTTGGGTGCCAGGAGCCCCAGTGGAATTACTATTGGTGACTTACCTACCTACCTGGCATTCCCACTGAACCACCCTTTTGGTCCTTTTGTTAAAACTCTCTGCAAATCTTCCCTGAGATTTGAGTAAGGCCGAGAGTGAGAAATGAAGCACCCCCAGAAAACAAATGGCAAAGGCCCTTAGTTTTACACTGCCCTGCCCGCCAAGGGCTTCCAAATTCACAAGCATCCCACTTAGTGCCCCTGGCCCGCCACCCACCACCAACTCTCTGATTATGAGGGTCACTCCTGTCATCACGAAGCTGGCAGAAACCTGAACAATAACCTTTCTTTTTCTACCTTTATTTTAGGAAAAAAACGACCACTCGGCGTGCCTTACTTGATTAACACCCCATCTCGAAAAAACATTAAACTTCCCATCCCCTGGAGGAGTACAAGTGAAACCATGCGCCTGGTCCCTGTATCTCACTCCCAGGGAGTTTATCCATGACACCACTTATTTACCATCTCTACATTCCAGGCAAATATGTTCTCTCTGGCACTCTCCACCCCAACCTTGGAGACACCGATTTTCCCTTGAACTGGAATGTCACTACTACATCCATCGGTTGCAAACATTTCCAAGCCCTCCGTGTGGACAGGGCTCTGAACTACCTTTCATCATTCTAAGTACCAGAAGCAGAGTTCAAGTACAGGTAGGACAGGGAGCATGCTGCCAGTGCGTCTGGAGGTTTGATCACCATTGCAAAACAACAGTATTTGGTGTTTTCTCTCCCTCAGGGTCCTGGGGGCAGTCCTTTCCCACCCCTATCCTGCCTTCCCTCCTCTCAAGTTTTCAGGGCGGTCTCGCTCTCTCCTGGCTAGAAGAGGGCTGCAGACTGCCTGACCCAAGTCACAGGCAGAGGCCAAAAGGGAGAGGGATTTTGACTGTGTGCACTCACATTACACTTCATAAACGGAAGTATGTTCACTCAGATTTATTCCTAGGACTTTATTCTCTTAAAAAAAAATCACTCTATCATGGAACTGTTCAGACATGTACAAAAGTAACAGCATAGTGTGCTGGCCAGGTACCATACACTCAACTTGGGTGGGTTTTTAATTAGAACCATTTCTTCTCCGACAAGCAGAGTTTAGAATTCGTCTGGGCAGGCCCCTGTCAGATGATCCAAGGAAGAGGGATATGGAGCCCTAGTGATGTAATTAACATACTGGGTTGCTAACTGCAAGGTCAGCAGTTCAAAACCACAGCTGCTCTGAGGGAGAAAGATGAGGCTTTCTACTCTACTCCTGGAAAGAGTTACAGGCGTGGAAACCTGCAGGGGCAGCTCTACTCTGTCCCTTTAGGGTCCCTGTGAGTAGGCATGGTCTCAATGGCACTTGAGTTTAGTTTTAGCCGAAGGCTCCACCCAGGCAGTCACTCCAGCTGCACAAGGGCAGAGGCGGGAGGCGGCAGTATAGGAATGCACACACAGACTGTGGGAAGAAGCAAGCCGTGATGGACAGTTTTGTGAATGAAGGTGGCAGACACTGTTACTTGGAGTTAATGGTGATCCTCCCAACTACCCAGAAATAGCAAGACCCAAGGCCTCCTGACTGCGACACGACATTTAGATCCTCTGAACTCACAGAAAGAGCACCTCTTACTAGAGCTGGGTGACCTTGAGCAAACTCCTCAGTCTCGTTCCTTCCTCTGTGGAAAGGCTCACGCTCCCTCCGTTAGAACCGAGAGCTCTACAAGAAACCATGGACAGTAACCGTGCGTGGACTAGTAGCTATTATCATCACTGGCTATGTGTTAAATGGGTCCAGCTAAAACGGAAAGAGACCTTAAAATAGCATATGCCAGTTGCGCTAACAACTCAGAAGGTTCTGGCGCACAAACACTCTCACTTAGGGGGCCTTACGGTGCTCAGGCAGGAACCCAGTACCCCCACCTGCTTCCTGAGTCCAGGCTCTGCTTCTAGAACACCCCCTTCTGGTTCAGGTGGAGGAAATAACACAAGCAAACCCGGAGGGGACTTCCTGGTACAATTCCAGCAGAGTACACGACGTCTAGAGAACCAAATCCAGTGACAGTCTGGCAAAGAGGCTTCTATCAAGAAATCATTTCAGCTCAAGAAGACAGCCCAGCCCAGCCCAAGTCCCTAAGTCTGATGACAGTCCACGAGTCCCTCTTCAGATTCACATCACTGCAGGCCAGTGACACAGAAAGATCACAGGCCAGTGGAGGCAGGCAGCTCTCAGTGTAAGCAGCCCTCATGGGGTCACCCCTGAATGCAGGGTCCCAGCAGGCAGGAAGGTGGAGGGGGAGAGGGAAGGAGAGGGCGTGGGAGCAAGTGAGGAGGTTCTCAGCTCTTCTCGGGCTTCTATGAAGCCACACTCCCTAAGAATGCATCAAACTACTGCCTGGTTGACAGGCTGAACCTCACCTCCAGCCAGGAGTGTCCAGTTAACATATCTGACTACCGCAGGCCTCATTAAGTTCTTCCGTGAAAATCAGTCTCCCCCTGCAAAGCTAGCTTGAAGAGCTACTTCTAGACCCAACCCCCCACTTTGCTGGGGCGGGGTGGCCAGGGGCAACAGAAGCTCCTGAGAGAAGACAGACACCATTTGAAACAGTCAACCTCCTCTTGTTTGCACATAGAATGTTTCCTCACACAAAGGAGACCTGTTTCATCAAAGAATTCGGGGTCTTCTGTTTCCCCCAAACCTTTGAAGTCCCCCTCCTGTGTCAGACTATGAGGAAGACCTGACAGTGTGCATGCACATGTGACTGGCACTTTCTCTTCACTACCCACCACTCCAGTCACCTGCCGGTATCAGGGCAGGATGGATACAAAAAAACGATCCCACCTAAACTCAATTGGCAGAATTAAGCAGGAAAAAGGACTCGCCAGGTGCTACTCCTCGCTGTCCTACTTGAAAGACACTTTAGGACAGACCCCAGCCATGCCAGCAGGAACTGGAAGCAGTCTGCACGCTGGTCCGTGTCAAGTGCAGTCCAGCACCCCACCAGCAGAGACGAGGGAAAAGCAAGGCGGGCGGTGGGGTGGGCAGTGAGCGCTTGGTGGAGCTTAACGCTTTTGGAGTCCTGGGTAGCCATTTTGGGGTATCAGGAAGGTCCTACTCAACGATGAGCCACAGTCTCAAAACGTGGAGCGTCAGGCTCTGCAGCCCCACCAGCACATACAGCTGGCTAACCAGGCCTGCCTTCCCAGACCCCAAGTTGCCACTCTGTTCTGTGCACAAAACAAAGCCCGCAACACTGGATTGCCCAGGGAAATGTGTAATTGTGTCCCGTTAATAAACAGTGCGCCACCGTCCCACTGGTTGCTCCCCAAGTCCAACGGCTTTGGTACCAAGGGGAGAATTTTCTAGTCAGGTCACACGCGCACATGCTCTCTGTAGCGCGTCTCCTCTCCCCCCACAGCCTCACGTGCTTTCCTTGCACAGACGACGCTGGCAAGAACAGCTAGCTCCTTACTTATCCTCCTCAGACAGACTGAGGTGGGCTCTGGGTGGTCCTCACACTGACCACAGGCTCCTCTCCTCTTCTATATTCCAGTCTCTTTTTCAGCCTGTCCTTGAGTGACTGTCTTCTTGGTCACCTTTCACTGCCGGCTTCAGGGAGTCTTCCTCTGGATGAGGACCATGTTGTTGGAGTCTCACCCTGCAGGAAAGCACTGCAGGGAGCCCCATCGGGCTTCCCTTCTGCCAGGAGGCAGGAGCTCAGACCCACCTCTGCCCCCAGCCTTCTTTCGTCCCCATGCCGGGTTCAAGAATTTGTTGCAATGGCCACAAAACTCTTAATTCTGAGGAATTAGTAGAGACATTAATAAGATACCTTATGTCAGATCAGCACTCACTAAGGACCTGATCACTGGCAGACAGCAGTAGCTCCCTCAGTCAACAGCCAAGTCTCTCTCTCTCTGACCTTCAGCCTCTCAGCCACGAGTCCCGTGGCCTCTGCCCAGGAAGCTCACCCACCACTCTTGCCTTGCAGTCACAGTGCCGCTCCTCTGTTCTGTCCCAGTCTCCACCACTTCTGACAGGGATCTCAGCCATGTGCATCTTCCGTTAAGCCTTGGGTTTCTGTTTGCTTCCAAGATGGTCCTTATACTTAGACAAATGGCTTTTGACTTTCAGCCAACCACAGCACCGCTATGACAAGGTTCACACCCTCTTAAATTAAGAAACTTAGGGAGAATGGGTAGGAAAGAGGGAACCGATTACAAGGAACTATATGTGACCTCCTCCCTGGGGGACAGACAACCGAAAAGTGGGTGA